GATTGAGATCCATTCTTGAATGTTTGTTTCAGATTTTTCTGTCGTTGTTGTGATGAACATGTTGTATATGTCAGGAAATCTAATCTTTATTTCTTTGGGTATCAATATTTTTTCAGTTGGATTGATTGTTTCTTTGTTTGTTGATTGGTTTTTCAAGTCATTTAAAAAGTTTTGTAAAGAGATGATAGGAGGAGGGGGTCTTGCCTATTCTGGATGGATCCTTTTCTTGCAGTGGTTCTTGATTTTGTAGATATTCTTTTTAGCAACTTTTAGCATATTATTTCTAAGCGTGTTTCATCTTTTGTCCATTGTGATATTTGGCTGAGTAGTTTTTGAGGTTAGCTTTTTCATCATGGTCACATAGACATACATTGTTCAGTACTAGTGTGTTGCCAGTTAAATCTATGATTGTGCTTGTGCACTGTGACTTTTTTTCCTGAGCTTAAGTCTAGGTTTCATATTTTTAATTCTATGGTCATGCTTTGATGATTGCTTTTTATTAAGGATTGTAGTATATTTCATATATGTGATTTCTTGATTGCCATTTATCTGAAAGACTAAACCATATTTGATCTATTCTACTTTTACTGTCTTGCCCCTTATGTGAACTCTTTCTTGATAGGATTATATGTATGGTAGCTATCTTCGAAATCTCTATTGATCAGCAGCTCTATATGGGGTCTGGTTGATTTACTGGTACATGAGATTTTGTGATTGTTGTGTTTTCTAATATTGGATTGGAAGTTGCATTCATGTTTCCAATGACTATAATATACTAGTCCTTGTTGTTAGCCTTCTTTATCCATTGTTATAAAGTTCTTGTTACTTGTAAGCATTCTTTGATTATTGCTATTGCAGAAAAATATACTTCTATGATTCATATTTTTTGTTTGTTTGGGAAAGCCATGTCTACTGCTATCAACATTCTATTCAGTTTCTTGTATTTGAAGATTCTTTTCACAATTTTCTTGTAAATTATTATTTTAAGACCTTGTCCCAATGTTTAGAATTAGTAATAGGTCCAGATTATATTATAGTTGAGATATTTCCAATGTCTTGATGCCTGATCTGTTCCATTGACTTCTGTTGTTACTGAATATCTCAGCCTTGACTGTTAATGAGGTAGAACCACATTTGTCTTTTAAAGTTGTCTGTGATCCCTTTAATGTTTTATGTTATAATTTTTTATAGGTTTGGAATGTGTTGTTCAGTGTAGTGCTGTGTTTCACTTTCCATTTATATTTATATTATATCTGATTGATCTATTGTATAGTTGAAGTTCATATTATTTGAATTCATAATTGAAGTGTTATTGGTTGTGAAGTGATTGTTGTTGTCTTTTGTTGTTGTGCTTGTAGTTTGTATTGTTAATTTGATGTATGTGAATGTGTCTAGATTTCTGTTCTGGTCTATTAAATTACTTTTTCTGGTTTACTGGTATTATTTGAATTATATATTATTGTTTATATATTGAGATTGTTTGTTATTTGGAATGAGAATATTAATTGCAGAGAGAATGTTGCTTATATTTTGATCCATCTTATTAATTGAATTATAGAGTTCTTGTTGTCATTATTATATGTCAGATGTTGAGTTGATGGGAAATATTGAGTCTATCGCATTGGAATTATCTGATTTTGTTGCTTGTTGTATATTTTCTTCCATTATGTTATTGTTGTATTCCTCATATAATTCAAGGTATGTAATTCTCTTATCCAGTTCTTCAATTGATGATTTAATTTATTTGATGTTTTTTTTCATTTGTTGAAGTATATTGAGAATTTTGTCTAGTAGATCTTATTCTCAGTCATTTTGTTGACTAGTTTTATTTTATAATTAGTTGTTTCTACTGCTGCATAGACTTTTGTATTGATTTTTGTGTTCGTATTTCTCTGCTTACTATATTTCTAATATATTGGTGCCAGTCGGTTTAAACTTTTGATCAAGTTTGCTGAATTTTGATGCCTGGTCTTTGTTGTATAAAGACCATTATTTTCTTTTTTCCTTAATAGAACATTGTACCAAAAGGTGATTGCTTTAATTGCAGATAGAGCAGAGTTTGGTTTCTATCAGCTTTACTGTGATAGTGATTTCTCCCAAGATAAATTCTTGTCCTAAACCTTCTTTGAGTTTGTTTTTAGATTCAAAAGATATGACTGCAAAATATTTTCTGGTGTATTTGATTCTACGGGAAATATAACATGACTTTATTTAAAGTTGTTAATATACATTCTTTAGATTGAATGCATTAGTGTTTGGTGGAAGATTAATGAGTTTTGTTGCATATTAAAATCTTTTTGTTATTTGTTGCTTGTTCTATTATGTGTCCATTATTCTGGTTATGTCGTCCTTGATCAGAATGCTATATTGTTGGATAAGTTGTTCTTTTACTTCTTATCTTGAAAAGTAATTGTTACTGTTTATCACATTTGGCTTATGTGCATTGATATATTAGTAATTTGTCCATATCTAGCAAAGATCTATTGTACTCTATGAATTTTGTGGTTAGAAAAATGTTCTATACCCTGATACTGTTTTTCTTTTTTGACTCAGTTATTATGATTGTCATACATATCAATCTTTTCTGATCTGTGTTTAGTAAGATTAGATTGTATGCCTCCTCTGTAGTTTGTTTCTCTCCAAATTAGGTAGTTATATGATCGATACCCCCTTTTTTTTTCTTATGAATATTGAAGAGACTTTTTGGACTACCTAGAATCTTGATTAAATATATGATTTTTTGGCTGATAATGGTATCAGGAATGTCACTTGCCATGATTCCTACTTTGAATTTTTTCTTGCTATATCTTACTATTCTATTAAAATGTGATCTTGATCTTAAACAACCTTTTCTTTGATTACTTTAAATTTGCCATATTTCTTTAATATTTTCCTCATTTGGATCTTGGTTTAGTTCTGCCTCTCCTTCATCATATATTTTTATGTTGAAATTATCAATTCTTGTTACCGTGTGGATATTTTGTTGAGTATTTGATATCTCTTCTCTGTGTACTTTCTTGAGATGTAATTCGTTTTTGATGGTGATTGTTTCTTCTACCTGATCACTTCATGTGTACAATGTTGAGCTGGTTGCATCCTTTCCATTGTGGTTTTGAAAGTTCTGGTAGTTGGATGTGTGTTGTTGGATTACTTGTTCATTTGTGGGAAGGTTTTGAATAGTTTTTGTTGATTTTTCAAGTTCTTTATCCTTGTTTTGAGTTGTTGTCATTTTGTATTCATGTTGATTTCTTTTCAAAGATTTTTTGCATTACCTTTTACCAAAAGGTTCTCATTGTAATTGGATCTTGTACTAGTTTTGGAACTACAAAGGGTTCTATAAGAACTCATTTCTTCCATGTGCTTTTGTTTCTTAGAAAAAATTGCCTAAAAAGGAAATTTTTAAGAATTTTGGAATCTGCAGGAAAGAGTTTTTTTTTGGCAATAATCTTGATAGATTATAATTAATTCAATTATATCAGAGGAACATAATATTGTCTTCAAAATCTGACTTAAAGTACTTATATATGAAAACAAGTTGGTCATTTTGTAGAAGTCTATAATTTATTATAGATTTGTTTTAATTTCTAAATAAAGACAAGCATCATAGCATGATTACAGGTTAGAAAAAAAAAAGTTAGATATTATGATTAAACTTAAAAAATAAAAAAAAAAATTATTAAATGAGAGTTTAAATATTAATAATAAAATTCTAACATAATTTAATGAAGGTTTCACAGTACGTATATAGAATTATAGTTTAGATTAACTTTACTTAATACTCAAAAAGTGATATTATTGATAAAATAAAAAGTTATTATGTGACATCGTTTTAAGTTTAAAAAAAGTTTCGGGTTTTTCGAAATCCCCCGTGTATCAAATTTTCTTTTATCGAATAAACCGGGACCCGGAAAATTTTTAATGATACGTCTAATTTGGAAAATATAATAAGAATAACAAATATTTATTTAATACCTTTATAGGTGTTTTTCAATTAATGCATCGATAATTAACTAATATCGGGTTTTTTGGTCACTACGTATTTTTGAATAATACATATACAATATAAATTCTAGGAGTACAATTATAACGTCAGTCCGGATTCGAAAATAATTACCCATATAGACTATTTGTACACAGTTTCTTTTATCGATAGTTGACCATATAAATTCTGCGCATAGATCAGGCCACCCATGTGTCCTCCAACAATGGCACTAATGACCCAATAAAAGTATTTGGTATCAGAACTTGGGTCTTTTGATATTTCAGTTAGGTACAATATTTGTATATAAATCAATTAAATAATTTAATTATCAAATGACCTGCCAGTTCCGTTTAAATTATGAACATCATTACGTATTGATGTCCAATGACCTAAAAACCAAAAATTAGTTATTGTGTCACGTAACGCAGTTACGTAATTAAGTGATCATCACAACAAACACATTTATTCGGAAAAAAACAATTGTTCTTTTAATTGTCAGTACATGTAATTAGGGAATAATTCATGAATTGTTACTGTATGTCAATTAGGTTCGTCCACATTTTAATTCATTTAAAATCGGCATTTTTTTTTTCAAACACGGCTATCACTGACATATTTTTCATAATGCACAGCCGGCGAGGCACCGTGCATTGAACATGTCGAATTTTTTCTTACGTATATCATGCATATAGCGTTTCGTACAGTAGCTATCCATTACGTAATTACGTCGTTAGCCGAAACGCGGGTCGTTTTTTTTAAAAGGTTTTTACTATAACATAATTTTATTAAATAAACTTAATTATTACCTTAGAACTTAATATATGACCTTACTTTCTTAAAAAATGTCGGTTAACATATTTAACTTATGAAGAAAATCTATTGACTACGTATCATAAATGTTGTAATTCATAATTTGTTATTTAGAACTTATTTTTAACGAAAAAAATTTTTTTAAAGAAATAACGCTAAATTTATAGACTGTAAAAAAAAGGAAATCACTTTTTTTAACCTAAGAAGGCTACTGGTGATTTTCAAAATATTCCTCAAGAGGAGTTTTCGAATAGTATAGATGAAGCATTCCCAAAAGTTCTTCATCCATAACATCTTGATGAGTTTCTTTATGATAATAAGCAAGATCCGATGGGCTATAGTAAATGAATTCGCCGCGAAAATCTTTTGGAAGCTCATTCTGAAGTTCTTTGAGTCTCTTTTCTATCATTTCAGCGACTCGCTCGTATTCTTCTCGTACCTCTGCATTTTCGTTGCGCCACTGGATGGCTGCCATTTTCGAGGCGTTTTCCATATTCAACTTGTGGTTAAGTCGCGAAAGCTCCCGTGTGAATACGACGCGGTATAGGATAAAGCTATTCAGGGGTTTCTTACCAATTTTTTCACGGGGATCGGTGAAAAAATATTCGACATTTATTTCCGATGCCCTCGGCATTCGAATATACACTGGAACAAAATCAAGTTCCTTTTTTTTAGGACCCTTTTTATGTTTCGAGATTCTTCGCGAACCAGCAGGAAAAGACTGATCAACGAAAGTATATTTCATACTTTATTAAGAATACACAATAAGCGAATTAAAGGGATCGGGCATGGCTTTATATAATTTCTCTGCGAAATTTAAAAAGAAGTGTAAAATTTTCATGATAGTAAAGCTCCGAAGAAGTGAGAAAGAAAAAAGGAAATGAATATAAGATAAAAGACAATCTTTTAGATTTAAATGCCATACGCATGCTTTTGAACGAAATTTCCGATTTTACTTTTTAAAAATCACATCAATCGATTTTTTTTGTTATTAAGAGTATCAAAGAAAAGTAAGAAATAACAACCAAAGATTGTTTCTCATATACGCACAAATAAAGAAAGAAAACAATCCTCTACGTCACGTAATAATGATAGGATGCGTGTGTTCTATCGGCTTTTGTCTTTCCGAAAGCAGTTGGCGTTTTGTTTATACAGCTTGATCTCCGAGTTATCGTAAATTCTAAAACCTAATCTCTTTCATTAGAATATAAAATGCTTGATTATTATTTTATTTATAATATAATGAAGTAATTATCCATTGTTGACATTTATACATTCTCACGCTTGTTTCTCAAATCGGTAGTACTACATTGTATACGAAATGTTATAACATACGCGTCCTCTTAAGGTGAACAGAAAGCCGAAGATTATTTTTTCACTTTGTATTAAAGTAGTCATCATATGTTTGTAATATTACGGCAGAGAAAATCAGTTTGGGTTTTATTGAATATGGCGGTACATTTTGTGTGAATTTGCAAATCAACTACGGTACATAAGTAAAAATTTTCTACGGCTTATTAAATAAGAAGCCTTTTGACTCGATATAATTTTATAAAGAAACAAAGGACAATAAAATTTGTATCTTACCAAGAAATACTTACCAAGAAATAAATAAAATTTTTAAAAGGAAGTTTAGAAACTCCTTGAACGGCTTACATCTTCCGAAAATGTAAACACCTCTGGGCACGTAATACAAATTATTACTTACGCCATACGTATATAGTTGCACTATATGGCAATAAGGCCTTTTACTGGACGGCTAACCTTAATTCCCTGTGTCCGAATTAGATTAAAATAGCCCACGTTTTAGTATTTATTATCCTTTACGGAAAGAGTTTCATCGGAAGATGCACAAACTTAAAGTTCAAAAAACATTTTCCGAGATTAATAACGGGTGAAGGTGACTCGTTAAAAGTATTGGGGTCTTATGTACTTTAAATCAGTGAGCGAGTAGGTAGAAGTCACAGGGTTTACGTAGAAGGTCATTCATCCAACAAAAAAAAAATATCCACTACCTAAATCACATACATTTCTAGACTTTAGATTACTTTGCGTTTATGTTAAACCAAGAGCTATTATTGATTAATTTATCCTTTATTCGCAATACTTATTACAGAAAAAAAAAAAAAAACAGAATAAATATTCTAGAGATACGTAGCATTTATCGTAGACTGCATTAACGAAAAATCATTTCCTCGAATAATCCAGTATATTATGATGATAGAAATTCGAACACGTTCTTAAATTGTTAAGAATAATTTTATTTGAGGTTACTTTATCACCAATAATGTCATCGTTGTCATTGTTTAATTGTTCTATTAAAAAATTTCATGTTATAGTATACGCTGTATATCAAATTCATGGTCATCGTGTAACGGGAATGCCTATTACGTACGTATAGTGATTTTTGTTCAGGATTACTTATACGGTACGACATCACTCTTACACAGAAAATAAATGGAAAAAATATGGTTTCTAGATGCATAATTTCAGGGTTCGTATTGTCTTGTAGCAATCGGCGAGTTTTCGCTAACCTATATACTGTAACTCTCGTAACCATAATTATCGATAATAAAACAAAAAAAGGGAGGATAAAAAAGTGTACAAGACAAGAGGCGATATATTTGAGCGAGTTCTAAAATTACCTTTACTCGTTTTTAGGCTTCAAAAATTACCTTACGAGTGCGCTAAATTTGAGTTTCTTATATATGTGTATTTTTAATGTTTTATTGTCTTTTACGTAACACATTTGCTGATATTTATCAAACTCACATTGCATTTATGCATCAATATCATTTTCATATTTACAACAATTTCCGGTTAGTTAAGTGAGTGAATGAATGAGATGTGTGAATAAGTAAATATGTAAGCGGGAAATTGAATGGGTGGGTATGGTTTGGAATAGAGTTTAGGTTTCTATTTAGATCGCGATTTTTCAAAATTTTCTGCGCATATGCTTTGCATACGGCTTTATGTTTATTATACATAATCTCAGCAATGATTATAGTACCTTTGATATTCTCAAATTGAATTTAAGATTTTTCCCGAGAAAATTTTTAATATAATGATGATAATTGCATGTTTATTTGACATCTGTTGATTTTTCTCATTCAATGGTTTCATATTCACTATGCTTGATAACAATTTTTATTAAAAAATCAGCATATTTAAGCACTTATATCAAATATCCCATGTTTATAATAATACGCATAACACGGAGATACCCTTACATCACCGGCACAGCCCCTATGCAGGTGAAATTATGTGTGCGTATAAACCTGAATTCGGAAGTTGAGATTTAGTTATATAATATCTAAAAGTCATTTCCAACGCAATTTTTGTCTGTACAAGTGCCTTGGCTAATGAAAAAACTCTGCAATAAAAAATACACAACCTAAAGTCAGTTGATTAAATTCTTATTTTCGGCCGTAACTCGATTACACAATTTCTTATTATGCATAGAAAGTTCTGAAAATATAAAGCCGCAATCATTCTAATGATATTAATTTACTAATATGGGCGGCATGCACAGATTATTCTTTGTTTCTATACAAAATAAAGTGGTCGGGAATTCTGGACTATTAAGATTAAAAATTTTATTTCAATGCGCTGCCAGATTATGCGTTACATATCTCTATATGCCGGAGTTGTGACAATAGGTTTGTTTAAATCTGATAAAGACCCGGGAGCAATGCAATTCTAGAGATAAAATCCTAATCAAAAACTAGCGATACTATTTGAGTGTATGGGTCAATATATGCACGATTTATGTAAAAATTTTTACAACACATTTAAAAAATTCTTTAGAATATAAATTTAATGCTAAATATTTAAAAAAAGTTTGTTGGAATTTATACTTATTTAATATAAAAATCAATGTCGATTTTTCAATAACTAATATTTTTATAGAAGTTTTAATGTCATAAAGAATGCAATGCTTATAATTTAATATATTTTGACCATTAGTTGAGAGAAAATAAATTTATACAATAATGCCCGAAAGAACTTCAAAGAAAACTTTCTGCTTATGAATAGTTGTTTAAAGCTTATTGTGTCAACACTGAAAAAAAAGGAGATACTTAAATTCCCATTTTTGAAGTATATTGAATACTGTATAGGTTAAAAAATATGTATTCTTAAAGTTTTTATTTCCGTGATATTTAAAAATATAATATGCTCGGTGTTCTGTATATACATTTATCGCTTGTACTGTTTGCTGCACAGTTGCCTTTCCGAAATGTAAATTTGTATGTGTGACGCGCCTAAGGTTTGTGTCACTGACTGATTAAGTAATATCTGCATGATTTCCAAATATGCAATTGATCATGTACAAATATAGTCTCGATCATAAAGAGTCAATCACCACCAATAAAAGAATAAAATATATTTACTCTATTATTAAATAGTTAGATATTTTTAAAAAACATTATCATAAATATATTAATAAATTTTATCTTCAAAAATTTTAATTATTTTTATTATAATCAAATCGTTGAAAATATTTTTATCATAAATAAATTAATAAAATTTTATCAATTATTTTTATTATAATCAAATCGCTGAAAATATTTTTATTATAAATAAATTAATAAATTTTATCAATTATTTTTATTATAGATTTTATTCAAACAATTTTAAATTTAAAAAAATTTTTATAATCTATATATTCAAATTAAATTATAGTTTATTAATCAATAAAAAACATAAGTATATTTTTACTCAAACAGTATAATATATACTATAGTTAATAAATTTCTAAAAAAAAAATCAAGAATAAAAATCAAATATTTCTTATATAAAATATTAAAATTTTTAAATTAATGATTATAAAAAAATTATTTAGAATAGTTTTTTATGGTTTAAATCCTAGATTTTAAATTTTTAAATTTTGTCCCAATTAAATTAAAAACTTTATAAATCTTATCATCTAAAAAAATATAAATGATTTGTAAAATTTTATATATTAATTATTTTGAAGACCTATTATTGGTTACAAATAATAATAATTTTTTGATTTGACTTTATAAATAATATTTTGTTTTATGATAAACTTTAGATAAATACTTTTCTAGTTGTTTACTTCATAATCAATAAATTATCATTATTATATATCTTGTCAAAATATTATAATATAAAAAATTATAAAGAAATAAGTTAAAAAAAAAATAAAATAAAAAATAAAAAATATATAAATATACTGTATTATAAAAAAAAATAAAAAATAAAAAATATAATAAATATTTTAGTTTTTTTTCAATGTTTCATGTTTTTAAATTTTTTTTTTTAATAAAAAATATCATATTAAAATATTCTTTCTTTTTTTTTTTATTATTTGAAAACTTATTTATGCATAAAAAATCTTAATTTTTTTTATGTTTAATATTTAAAGAGATAAATATATTACTTAATAGAAGCTTTATTTTTAGAAATATACTTAATTATAATTTTTTTACAATAATTACAGTATATATTATCTATAATAAATTTCAAATTTTTATATTATTTATTTGAAATCAAGCCATATTATTTTAATATAATATCTTTCAATAATTATATTTATTTAAAAAATTTTTACTAATAAATATTTTCTATTATTCTTATAATATTATAGAAATAAAAATCTGTTAAATATAA